ATACATATACACTCATCTCTATAAACGTTTGCACATTCTACTCCATCATAAGATAGTAAGCCCAACTCTAACGCGTCGGTCTATTTCGTCCGCTCGCATCCGTTGGGTCTGCCCAGACAAAAAATCCGGTCTGACGCGCGGACGCTAACGTCCGCGCGTCCGTTTGGACCCATTTTTAGCTCAAATTTGGGCTCAATTTGCATCCACGTGAACACGCAGCAGACACCCGCAACACCCTCTTTTGGCCCTCCCGTCTGTGGCACACAGACCATTCTCCCCGCAATCAACACCATGCGTCCATGCCCTCTTCGCCATCGCCTCCGCCGCCCACTTTCGGCCTCTGCGCCAATGCCTCACTTCCTGCCGCCGCATCCACAGATGCTCCCCCACCTTTTCTTGCATCCAACGCCGCCCACTTTTACCGTCAAAATTTTAAACACATGGGGCATTGAAATGGGGTGAGTTTTTCCTAAAATTACTATTCAGGGCCACCACTACGTGCATGGCCCGGGGGGAGGGGGGCTGTCGCCATGTGTGTCGACTCGCTCGGGCCGTTCCACTCGACGTGGAGCCGTCCATCAACATTGGACGGCCCGCATGTGTGTGCTCGAGACGAGGATGCAGCGCAGCTGGATTTTTAAGCAACTGGGTTGTTTATATGGGTCGGCAGACGAGAGTGGATGTTTGAAGCCTGCGTGTATTGGAGGACCTTATTTTAAATAGTATGAAAATCACGTTTGAAGTTTGAAACAATTCTACATGATCATATTGATGTATATTACGCATGTGTAAAGTTTGGTGATAAAATAAGTAAACATGTGAGCTATAAAAAAATGACAAAATGGCGATTTCTAAATAGTGAATAACACATGCACTGTTCACATTTTCAAAAATCATGATTTTGTTATTTTTGTGTAACTCACGTGGTTATTAATTTCAGCATCGAAATTTGGACGTGTGTAATATACGTCCATATAAACATGTTGAATTCTTTTAAGAAAATTTTGAAACTTGAAAAATACTATTTTGGTATTATTTCATCCAAAATGACTTTTTGTTGACAAACATACTATTCCAACTCTCTTGCAGGCCCATAAGCAATAACAAGCGAACAGAAAACAAAAACGGGCCAAGCCCCTCCTCTCCAGGACCAGATCTTTGTTGGGGAACGTAGTAATTTTAAAAAATTTCCTACGCACACGCAAGATCATGGTGATGCATAGCAACGAGAGGGGAGAGTGTGATCTACGTACCCATGTAGATCGACAACGGAAGCGTTTGGTTGATGTAGTCGTACGTCTCCACGGCCCGACCGATCAAGTACCGAATATACGGCACCTCCGAGTTCTAGCACATGTTCAGCTCGATGACGATCCCCGGACTCCGATCCAGCAAAGTGTCGGGAAAGAGTTCCGTCAGCACGACGGCGTGGTGACGATCTTGATGTACTACTGTCGCAGGGCTTCGCCTAAGCACCGCTACAATATTATCGAGGACTATGGTGGCAGGGGGCGCCGCACACGGCTAAGAATATGATCACGTGGATCAACTTGGGTGTCTCTGGGGTGCTCTTGCCTCCGTATATAAAGGCTCAAGGGGGGGGGGGTGCGGCCGGCCTAGGAGAGGCGCGCCAGGAGGAGTCCTACTCCCTCCGGGAGTAGGACTTCCCCCCAATCCTAGTTGGAATAGGATTCGCGAGGTGGAAAAGAGAGAGAGAGAAGGAGGGGGGCGCCGGCCCCCTCTCTCCTTGTCCTATTGAGACTAGGGGGGAGGGGCGCGCGGCCCAGCCCTGGCCGCCTCTCCTCTTCTTCCACTAAGGCCCATATAGCTCCCGGGGGGTTCCGGTAACCTCCCGGTACTCCGGTAAAATCCCGATTTCATCCGGAACACTTCCGGTATCCAAACATAGGCTTCCAATATATCAATCTTTATGTCTCGACCATTTCGAGACTCCTCGTCATGTCCGTGATCACATCTGGGACTCCGAACAACCTTCGGTATATCAAAATGTATAAACTCATAATATAACTGTCATCGAAACCTTAAGCGTGCGGACCCTACGGGTTCGACAACAATGTAGACATGACCGAGACATGTCTCCGGTCAATAACCAATAGCGGGACCTGGATGCCCATATTGGCTCCTACATATTCTACGAAGATCTTTATCGGTCAGACCGCATAACAACATACGTTGTTCCCTTTGTCATCGGTATGTTACTTGCCCGAGATTCGATCGTCGGTATCCAATACCTAGTTCAATCTCGTTATCGGCAAGTCTCTTTACTCGTTCCGTAATACATCACCCCGCAACTAACTCATTAGTTGCAATGCTTGCAAGGCTTAAGTGATGTGCATTACCGAGAGGGCCCAGAGACACCTCTCCGATATTCGGAGTGACAAATCATAATCTCAAAATACGCCAACCCAACATGTACCTTTGGAGACACCTGTAGAGCTCCTTTATAATCACCCAGTTACGTTGTGACGTTTGGTAGCACACAAAGTGTTCCTCCGGCACACGGGAGTTACATAATATCATAGTCATAGGAACATGTATAAGTCATGAAGAAAGCAATAGCAACATACTAAACGATCGGGTGCTAAGCTAATGGAATGGGTCATGTCAATCAGATCATTCAACCAATGATGTGATCCCGTTAATCAAATAACAACTCTTTGTCCATGATTAGGAAACATAACCATTGTTGATTAACGGGCTAGTTAAGTAGATGCATACTAGTGACACTCTGTTTGTCTATGTATTCACACATGTATTATGTTTCCGGTTAATACAATTCTAGCATGAATAATAAACTTTTATCATGATATAAGGAAATAAATAATAATTTTATTATTGCCTCTAGGGCATATTTCCTTCAATCTTTGCCTGATAATAAAGCACATATTGTTTCTGTCCGTCCGTCATTAAAAATGTCGTAAAAGTTGATAATATTAACCCCCACTGCAACCAGTAAGTGAAGAAAAACGATTCACTTTTAATTCAGAATCGCCGCGGGATTTAGTTCTTATATACTGATACACTCAAATAACACCAACACATGAATAGTGCAATGGCTAAGGTCACAGATTTCAACACGGGAGACCGGAGTTTGATCCCTGGTTCACCCATTTTTCTTGCCTTTTTCCCTCTAGCGCGCCTCCTCCCGCACGCGGTAATTGGCTGGTTCATGTGCGGGTCGTGGCGCCGCCCGTTTTCTATTTCATTTTATTTGCCTTTTACTTTCTCATTTCTGTTTTTGTTTTTTCCTTCTTTAAATTATTTGGGATTTCCAAAAGAACCAACTTGCAGAAAGTTATGAGTTTTAAAAAAATATATTGAGAAATCATAAACTGTTTGTGAATTCAAAAAACATCCGGGGAATCATAAAATGTTCATGATTTCGAAAAATTGTTCGTGTGTTATTAAAAAAATTCAAACAAATGTTCATGATTTTAAAAAATAATACAATATTCAAAACATATTCAGGAATTTGAAAAAATGTCCATCAAATTTTAGAAAAGATTAGCACAGATCCGTAAATAATGAACAAAATGAACCGTCTCTATGTAGAAGTTTTATTAGGGATCTGTAGAGATTATTTTATGTTTTTATTTAGTCACTCACGTCGGAAAAAAAGGTTTTCGTGTTTTGTACAACGTTGAGCCCCAAACAAATTGATACAACTTTTTTTTTGAGCATCAGTACAGACACAAGCGCTCATATACACGCGCATACACTCATCCCTATGAACGCACACACGCACACCCTACCCCTATGAGCACCTCTGAGAGACTGAGCCGGCATATCATCTTGAGATTTACGAAGTCACCGTAGGCGCCTCGTCGTCGACGGAAACATCTCCTCCCACTGAATGCGCATCGCCGGAAATCCTGAAATAAATCCAGAAATAATGCGAGCACCAGGATTTGAACCCTGGTGGGTTGGGGATACCACTGTCCACCTAACCAACTCAACCATAGGTTGATTCGCAATTGATACAACTTTCTATGAGTTAATTTTTGTAAGCTATGTGAAAATGACTTTTGCCATATATTGAAAGCTATGTGAAAATGATTTTGGTAAGCTATGTGAAAATGACTTTTGCCCTTAGGGGCTGTTTGGATTGTGATTAGCCATATATTGCCACATGATTTTTTGCCACACTTGCCTTAATTGAGTTGCTTAAATTGTTAGCCACACTTTGGTTTGTCTAAGGGAATCTTGCCACACTTTTTGTGTTTGTGACATGTGGGTTCACTGCTCATAAAAAAATTCTTGCCTTAGGTGTGGCTAGAACCGAACACCTACCTAACTTTGTCAAACTTGCCTAAGGTTAAGTGTGGCAAAGTGTAACAAGGTGTGGCTAGGAACCAAACAACCTCTAAATATCTATTTTGCCTACATACATAGATATGTTTTTTTGCACTACACTACTGGTTATGATAAACACCGCTACGCTAGGTCAAGGCGAGACACGTCACTCATCAATCTAACTCAGACAGGGTCCATCAATCACATTTTTAGTTATTGAAATGACTTTTTAAAAACCCCTTATCTCATCGTGATATCACCCAGACATAGTTTGTGAAATGACATTTTAAAAGTCTTTATCTCATTTTGGCATTTGATTCAGACTGTTTTTAACATCTATTACTCCTGCATAATCTGATAGTTTTTTCTTCGGTTGCAACACACGGACATATTTGCTAGTAACAGATAAAATATGTAGTCAACGTGACAGTAAAAAGAATAGAATTGTCTAAGAAAACGTAAAAAGAATAGAAACGGGCCAGGCACAATGGACGCGACGAAGTCAGCGCATGAGACTGAAACAACGCAGAATAGGACTGCACGAGATTTACAGAACAGACAAATCCGAAGGTCAGTGACGTAGATGTTAAATCTCATCTAAATGAGATTTATCAAATCCGAAAGAAAAACAATATCCCGACCAAAGATTTGACAGCATCTTAGAACGCCAAGAACCAACGTTATCGTCAAAGAATGACATAGGGAGTCCTCACATGATACTTGCGGCTGGTGTCGGTCCACACCACGGCCCCGTAGGCGGCCTTGCCTCCGGGAGTAGGCGCGGTGAGCTTGATGTCTACCTCGAACGAGGCCTTCTGCCCTGCGCCGCCGAATTCCAGCGTTGCCGGCGTCACGGCCACGGCAACGTTGCTCGGCGAAACCCATGAGGCGCGGTACGTCGCCGGACCCGCTCCGACGCTGGTCACCGTCCTGCCGAAGCGCATCTCCCCGGTGGTAGCGTTGGCGCCGAAGATGGCCACAAACGACGGGCAGTTCGCGTCGTTCGACGAGGAGGAGCAGTTGTACGCCGTCGACGACCTAGTGATCGCCGCGATCTGGGCTCCGGTGTAGTTTGCGGCGCAGAGGAACGCCACGAAGTCCTTCGGCCCGGCGTCGTACACCAGCCCCGGGTCCATAGCCGAGTTGGGGCTAACGTGCCCGGAGCCCATGGCCAGCGGGCTCGCCGCGGTGGAGTTGCCCTTGCGGCTGGCGCCGGCGTCCATGATTGGGCGGAATGTGTTGTCGTTGCTGGTCGCAGTGGTCATCATCGCCGATTTGATCATGGCCGGGCTCCAGTCCGGGTGCGCCGCGTGAAGCAACGCCGCCACGCCGCTGGCGTGCGGGCACGCCATCGACGTCCCGGACACGACGAGGAAGTCGCTGCCCAGCGTGGTCTCCCCTATCGTTCCATGTGGATCCACGGGTGCCCACGACGCGAGAATGTTGTCCCCAGGAGCTAGTATGTCCGGCTTGAGCACGCCGGGGTAGCTAGGCGACGGCCCCCGAGAGGAGTACGCGGCAACCACAGGCGCTGGCCGTGTGCCGAGGATCGTCTGCTGGAACTTCATTGTTGCCGTCGGGATTATGGTGGAGTTGATGTAGCTCAGTAGCGCCGATGCGTCTTCCGGGCTGATGAAAATGGCTGGGAACGACATGGTGTCCTCGGAAATCGTCCAAAAAAATGACACGTCTTCCGAGCTGATGAAGATGGCCGCGGCGACCCCGGCCTCGGCCGCGGTGACCAGCTGATCGAGGACACTCCCCGTGTGGTGACACACGACTATGCTCGTCGTTACGTTCGCTAGCGACGCTGAGGAGTTGCACGCTGAGATGACCAACTTCATGTCCACCACCCAAGCGTTCGCAGGGTAGTTCGTGAAACCAGTTATGGTGCCTCGCGTCGTGTTGCCATAAGTTACGGTGCCGGAGAACATTGTCCGGTCCACCGTGCCAGCCGCGACGGTGAGCAGCCATGGGATGCCGTTGTGCAAACTGCCGGGGCGTGGGCCTTCATTTCCCGCTGAAGCCGACACGAGGATACCACGCTCCATGGCGGCGAACGCAGCTATGGCCACGGGGTCCTCGTACAGCGGCACGCCGTCGAAACCCATTGAGATGGAGATGATGTCGACGCCGTCCGCGATTGCCGCGTCCATAGCAGCCAGCACGTCAGACGCGTATTGGGGCCCCTTTGTGTTCCAGATGACCTTGTACATGGCGACATGAGCACGCGGGGCAACTCCGCGGGCAGTGCCAAGCCCGTACCCGAAGAAAGACGCGCCCGGCACGGGGCTGCCCGCTGCGGTGGATGAGGTGTGCGTGCCGTGGCCTAGGATGTCGCGTGTCGAGTTCATGCTGATGACCACGCCAGGGTTCGCGGCGACAAAACCCCTGTTGAAGTAACGCGCTCCGATGAGCTTCCGGTTGCACGTAGAGGCGGCAAACGCCACGCCCGGCTCGCAAGCGCCGCGCCACCGGGACGGGACGGGGCTCATGCCGGCATCATCGAAGCTCGCGCTCTCCGGCCACACTCCGGTGTCGATCACGCCGATGATGACACCCTCGCCGAGTTTGGCCGCCGGCCACAGCCCACCGAACGGGCTGAGGTGGAGGAACTCCGTGGAGTGCGTGGTGTCGTGAGAGGCGTCGGCGCGGCGGTCCGGGTATGCCGAGACGAAGCCCGGCGCGCGGTTCAGGGCGCGGAGCTCCGAGGACGAGAGGGTGGCCGCGAAGCCGTGGAGCGCCTCGTCGTAGGCGTAGACAAGCCGTGGCTGCTCGCCAAGGGCGCCGTCCGGTGAGTCGGCTGCCGCTGCTAGAGACGCCAGCACGGTGGAGTACCACTCACGGTGGCCGGAGAGCTGCGGCGGCATGGCGGACTTGTCCATGTGGACAATGTACGAGGCCCGCTGATCGGCGTCCACAGGAGCGAGGAAGAGAGAGCAGAGGAGCCATGAGCTACTCGCTAACAATAGAAGTGATGTAGTTCGACGAGTGTGCATCGCATCTGCCTTTGTTGCTGCCAGTTGAATTGTTCTAAGCATGGGCGCTCATTATATACACGACGGTGTACCGGGCTGGGTGCGCACGGGCTCACGTACGCATGGTTGTTCGGTAGCTAGGTTGGTTCGGAGCATATTGCAATGTCTTTGAGCTTTGGAAATTTGCCTTCTTGTGTGAATGAGTCTTGACAACCTATATATCTGGGAAAGAAAAGAAAATGCCGATCTTTATTGGCATTGCAGCTACCTTCTGGATTATCTAGAGAATGATGCTTTGCTTTAGACGCAAAATGATATTTAGAGCAACTCCAACGGGCCGACCCACATGAACGGTGATTTCGTCCGCTTTTTATCCGTTTGAGTCGGTCAAACGGATACGGATGTCCGCTTCCGCATTTGGGTTGGCAAGTGCGCCCAACGCTGGCTTGAACCCATTTTTTACGGCGAAAAAAAATAAACGCACACATATTAAAAAACGAAAAACGACATTAATTAAACATTAAAGCCGGCCACGAAGGACGGTGAGAGTCCATGCGTCCACATTTGCATTAAAAAAAAACAGCCTAAATTACGAGGCGGCGCGCTGCCCTAGGCGTCCTCGTCGTCGTCCTCGGGGTCCATGAGGTCGATGAGCGTCGGCGCCGGCCCGGCCCAGGCGAACGCCGTGTTCCAGAGCGCCGTCATGTCGGGCAGTGCCGGCGCAGGCAGTGCCGATGCGGGGGGTTGTGCGGCCGCCTGTGGAGCGGCGGCCTGGCGCGCCTCCTCCTCGGCCTTGCGCTGCTCCTCCTCGAGGTCGCGCTCGAGCATCTCGAGGTACTCGCCGTCGCGACGCTCCTCGGCCACCCTGATGATGCGCCAGTGCTCGAGGTACGCCTGCTCCTGCGCCGGTGTCGCTCCCATCCAGACTGGCGGCGCACGTACCCATTCGTGCACTACTCCCGTCCAGGAGTAGCGCTCGATGGGGTCGGCTCGGGCTCCGCCTCCGGCTTGATGGGGGAAGGCGGGGCCACCGGCGGCACCACGCTGTCGCCCGCCGTGGAGAAGGCAAGGGCCTGCGCCATTGCCGCCTCGTACCGAGCCTCTTCTTCCGCCTCCGCCCTGCGCCGCTTGTCCTCCTCGCTCTCCCGGAAGACGGCCACAAGTGCCGCCCGGTAGGCGTCCTCCGCCGCCTGGTCCTCCTCGCGGATGACGAGCACCGATGGCGGCGACCTCCGGTCGACCTCGCGCACGCCCCGTCGCCTCGCCTCCTCGTGCTCGAAGGCGAACCACCTCACCCAGTTGGGTGAGTCGGTTGCATAGGCGGCCTCGCGGCGCTGCTCCGACGTCAGCAGCGCCCGCCGGCGCCGCACCTCCTCCGCGTGAGCACGAGCCGACCGCGGCGCCGCCGGCACTAGGATCCTCTCGGGATCCAGATGCCAGTCGTGCGGCAGCGTCACGTCGGGATACGGCAGAGGCTGGCGGTGCTGCCAGTGCCACTCCGCCTGGTGCACTGGCACGTTCACGCGCTGCCGGTGCCGGCGAGGCGCCGACACCGGTGGAGGCGGGAGGAAAGGGGTGACGGGGGACTTGCCCTTGGCCTTGCTGCCGCTGGCGCCGGAGAAGAGGCCCATCTCTGATGTGGTTGTGGTGGCTAGGGTTTGCCGGCGACGAGGGAGCAAAGGATGACAGATGTGGACGGCGAGTTTGGATGAGGATGGCCCCGCCGCATGGTCGGCTTAAAAAAGGATGAGCACCGCTGACGCGTGGGCCCGTCATCATAAATTAAGGTGACCGCGTGGATAGCGGGTAGTTGGACGACCGCCATGTGGGGACGCGGCGGACAGCGGGAAGGCGCGCGAAGCATCCGTTCGGCGTCCGCGCCGACGCATTTGGGACGCAAATTTGGGCCGCAAATGCATTGGCGCGGACGCAACGCGGACATGATTTGGGTTTGGGTCGGCGCGTTGGGCCGCCACTTTTGTCCGCGCCGACTCAAACGGACGCAGGCGGACGGAATGGGTCGGCCCTTTGGAGTTGCTCTTAACTCCTTTTTGCGAAAGACATAACCCTTCTACTCTGAATTGTATATACATATCTGAAGTATATTCTTGGAAAAAAAGAAGATCTGATATATGCGTACGATTTTTTAAACCAATATAGATATTCATATGTGATGTAGGGTAAAAAGTCTTTATATAAGAAACACACAATGCGTCTGCCCAATTGGAGGGCGGCGACCCTCCCGAAAATCAGCCGGGCCTGCTGGTGTAATCGGTTCTCTCTGCAATTCCGATCCACTCAATGCTTGCCCTTGACCTTCCGCCGAAGCTCCCCGCTAGGCTCCTTGCCGGCAGCCACCCCAGCTCCGGCGTCTACCCCTCTGTGTCGCTGGCCGCTCTGGCCCCGCCGCACACCCCCAGTCATGCGCTCCCTCTCTCCGCCGGCCAGAGGCCGCTCACGCTCGGACTGCTGGCTCGAGTCGAGCCCCTCCTCTGCCGGTACCGCAGACCCCCGGCCATGGGAGGAAGCGCAACCGCTCTTCCCGGTTGCAGCGTCCTTGTCGCGGGCCTGGAGATGCCCCTTGCCAGCCACTGTCGTGGCTCCGGGAGGACGAGTGCCCCAGGTGCCTCAGCCCCGGCCATCTGCGCTCGGAGTGTCGCAGGGACATCCGCTGTGGTCGCTGCCATTTCTTCGGGCACAAGGTCCGCGGCTGCCCCCTGCGCTCCGCCGCGGCCTCCTCCTCCTCCCAGGGCGCCTCCCCTCCTTCGCTGCATCGCCATGGTTCCGACTCTGGCCCAGGCCCGGTGGACTCCGCTTCGCCTTCTGTGCGTCCCACCTCCTCCGGCTCATACGACTGCCACGCATCCTCCGGGTCAGCCAACGCTAGGCCGTCGCGCTCCAGCGGTTCCGTGACTGCGTCTTCCAGGCCACATACCGCCTCTGCTTCGCCGGCCGGCTCTGCCTCTGCGGCGACCATCCCTGTCGGTGTCAAAACCGGCGGATCTCGGGTAGGGGGTCCCGAACTGTGCGTCTAAGGCGGATGGTAACAGGAGGCAGGGGACACGATGTTTACCCAGGTTCGGGCCCTCTTGATGGAGGTAATACCCTACGTCCTGCTTGATTGTTCTTGATGATATGAGTATTACAAGAGTTGATCTACCACGAGATCGTAGAGGCTAAACACTAGAAGCTAGCCTATGGTATGATTGTATATTGTCCTACGGACTAAACCCTCTGGTTTATATAGACACCGGAGGGGGCTAGGGTTACACAGAGTCGGTTACAAGGGAGGAGATATACATATCCGTATTGCCTAGCTTGCCTTCCACGCCAAGTAGAGTCCCATCCGGACACGGGACGAAGTCTTCAATCTTGTATCTTCATAGTCCAACAGTCCGGCCAAAGGATATAGTCCGGCTGTCCGGAGACCCCCTAATCCAGGACTCCCTCAGTAGCCCCTGAACCAGGCTTCAATGACGATGAGTCCGGCGCGCAGTATTATCTTTGGCATTGCAAGGCGGGTTCCTCCTCCGAATACTCTATAAAAGATTTCGAACACCAGGATAGTGTCCGATTCTACAAAACAAGTTCCACATACTACCGCAGAGAGAATAATATTTCCACAAATCTAATCAGCTGACACGTTTTGACAACATGACATCACACCATGGCCCGGTCATTATTCGAACCATTTCTCTCAACCAGCACTGCACATATCGTGAGGTGGTTTTCTTGACATGTCTTGTCAAAGCAGAGATCGTGTTCCCCTTATTACGAGATTCTCATCAATACAGACGTGGGTAACCCAACCGTGCCATCAATTACGGCGCTTGGGGAATAAGCGATTTTACCAGGCAAGTGGGGAGGCGCATCGCCTCATCCACCCTTTATAAAGGGACGAAGATTCACTCTTTTCACCCACGCCTTCTTCCTCCTTGCTTACCCATTCCCGTGCACTCGAGCTCTAGCGCCCAAGCTCGTGTTCTTCTTCTCAAACCATTCCAAGCATGTCCGGAGCAGGAGGCAAGTGGATGGTCTCCTCCGTCACGGAGGAGAACATCAAAAAGTTACGGGAAACTGGATATCTGGCCGCGGATACCGCGCACCGGCTGCCAGATGCGGGGCAGATCATCCCAACGCTCGAACCCCATGAGAGGGTAATTTTTCTTACCCACTTTGTCCGTGGACTGGGTTTCCCCTCCACCCGTTTGTCCGCGGGCTCATGTTCTACTACGGCCTGGATTTTCATGATTTGGCCTCCAATTTTATCCTCAACATTTCAGCGTTTATCATCGTGTGCGAGGCCTTCCTCCGCATCAAGCCCCATTTCGGCCTGTGGCTGAAGACCTTCAATGTCAAACCGAAGGTGGTGGTCGGCCAGCAAGCGGAGTGCGGAGGCGCCATGGTGGGCAAGATGCCTAATGTCACCGCTCGAAGGCTCCTATGTGGAGACCATAATGTTGGGGAACATAGCAGAAATTCAAAAATTTTCCTACGAAACACCAAGATCTATCTATGGAGAGACCAGCAACGAGTAGAAAGGAGAGTGCATCTACATACCCTTGTAGATCGCTAAGCGGAAGCGTTCAAGTGAACGGGGTTGATGGAGTCGTACTCGTCGTGATTCAGATCACCGATGATCAAGTGCCGAACGGACGGCACCTCCGCGTTCAACACACGTACAGCCCGGTGACGTCTCCCACGCCTTGATCCAGCAAGGAGAGAGGGAGAGGTTGAGGAAGACTCCATCCAACAGCAGCACAACGGCGTGGTGGTGGTGGAGGAGCGTGGCAATCCCGCAGGGCTTCGCCAAGCACCATGGGAGAAGAGGAGGAGGGAGAGGGGCAGGGCTGCACTAACGAGAGATCAAATCATGTGTTATGGGCAGCCCCTAGGCCTCATATATATAGGGGAAGGGGAGAGCTGCGCCCCCTTTAGGGTTTCCCACCCCAAAGGGGCGGCGGCCAGCCTCCAGATGGCATCTGGTGCGGCGGCCAAGAGGGGGGGAGGAGTCCATCCTCCCCAAGGCACCTCGGAGGTGCCTTACCCCTTGAGGACTCTTC